ATATAAAAAAGGGACATTAATTTCTTGACGATCTAATATTTAATAAATGCACGTTAAATTTGTAACCAATTTATATATGTGTCGTCTAAAAATAAATAAGTTAATGTTTAGAACAATAAAATTGAGTGTCGAAATAGTACTCCTGATCACTAAAAATTGAGAACGTTTTGAATCGAATCTGTCTGCTAAAAAAAAGACAACACCTTTAAGCTTGCATGTGACTTAACTGTTTTATTCACGATAAACATTCACATTAAAAATATATATCAACTTCATGTTCATAAAGCAGCATACCTCATAAATACTCATGGCAACAAAGCAACTTTGAAGTCGACCAAATCCTATACGTTATATACAATAATATTTGAATTATATTTCGCATTTGATATTTAAACATTAAATTTAAGCTATTTCTTACTTAGAAATAAATACTCAATACTTCGTGTTAACAAATGACATCAAGTGATGTTATACAGATTTTACGAGAGTATTACTACATTCACTGACATCGACTAGGAGGCACTGATGATGTAAATGCCGATTTTGAGTACCACGTGTTCAAAATACTGCCAGGTAATAAACTAAACGGTTACAAGAAACAACTAATTAGCTACACTTTTCATTAAACGTTGTGACACTGTGGAAAAGACACTGGAAGATTAGATGCCAGGATGAACAATAACTGATTGATGTTCCTGACCAAATGGGACATAATAACACTAACGAAAGATGGTATGACTTTTTTTTTCTACCGCAAGATTATAGTTCATGGCACAATTACAGGATCTGAAGTCACAAGCTACAGCACCACGAGATAAAGGCAGCTGATCACAAGATGATGGGGAACGTCAGGATAGAGATCATCATAGCTGTACATTTTACAGACAAACGTCATTGCATAGATAGGGAAAAAATAACATCACTGGCGCCATGAGTTCACTTGTTTTCCAGTAGTTTTCCAAAGTTCATTGTTTTCTATGTCTTCAAAGTTTCCTTATCACAGATTTGGCTTCGACGATTGTCAGTCTTCAAATAAACACTTTGGGTTGTGTTACCAGAGCTAGTCGTACTCCCAATATCTGAACAACTACCTAAAACTACCTGTCTTACATTTCATTGGAGCATCATGACCACCAATTATCTGCTGACTCCACAGATTGACCGGTGAGAGATGACAACTTAGGAAGCCTGCTGTAATGACAAGTAAGAATTAAACGGGTCACCTGAGCTTCTGGAGTGAACAGACTGACCTCTGAGCAAAAATAGCATACTGGTATGTCACAACACACTTTCTTCCCACTGTCAAACATGCGTCGCTAAAGTTCCAGGTTTCAGATGGCTTGGAAAGTTTTGGCTAGTGATGTATTGGTTAGAAGACAGAGTAGGTGCTTGAGACGTAAGACTGTTACACCTACTACTTTCGTAGAGGACATGATCAGGGGGTAGATTGGCCTGTGATGTTCTCAAGTAAGGGCTAGCATAGGTTGCACGGAAGGTGGGGCCCACTGGCTGGCCCAGATCGTTATAAAACTGTGGAGAGTTGTCATAAAGTGTACTATCTCGACTAGAGTTTAAGTGAGCTGCAGATGGATTGTAGTCTCTGGAGTAGTTAACATAAGGAACGTAACCATTGTTTTTCTGGGTTTCCTGTAGAGGGGAAAATATATGGAATTAGGGCAAGAAAACAATTGATGCAACTCATTAGAAAACATCAGTTAATAGGGCAAATTTGTTATTGTACTACACCTTAAAAGTGGAACATACTTCCGTAATGTAAGATTGTTTTTTAATAGGGCAATTTTGTTATTGTACTACATCTTACATTACGGAAGTATGTTCCACTTTTAAGGCTGTATTTTAATAGGGCAATTTTGTTATTGTAATACACCTTAAAAGTGGAACATACTTCCGTAATGTAAGATTGTTTTTTATTAAAGTGAAACTTGCCCTGCCAGCTATGTTATTTGATCGATTGAATGTTATAAACTCTGTTCTCAGTTTATCAGCTGAAGACGATAGAGATTTGGCGGAAATATTAAAAAAAGCTGTTGAGGTAATAATCGCAATAATAATTTCTCGAAATGCGTTTTTTATTTAAATGGTAAAAGTACAGTGATGCAGTAAAGTTAGTTTTTATGATTTTTAAGATGGTTAAAGCTTGTGCAACAACATTTGAATGAACATGTCAATTTTTTTATCTAGCATCATTAATGCTATCCAATACGAATACATTACTACCAACTTCCCAAAAGAGACTGTAAGAGCCAGATGATAAAAAAATGGCATTTCCACTTCAGTATCCATTGAGTTAAAGATGACCAATAAAGTGGTAACTTGCACATAGAAACTAAATAGGTTTTTGTTTTTGCATACTAAAACTTTATTGGGAATGAGTAGCAGTGTTCATAAGTTATAAAACAACAACAGCAGATTCTTTCTCAAAAAATATATACTAGTTACGCCTTAATCAACTGTGTTATAAAAATACCGAAATATCGGTAGGATTGTTGGCTTTCTCGTCCTTCAAGTGCGCAGAGGGTTGAGTACCTTATATTAAAGCGATTTTGATATATACACATCAGCAAGCCACGTTACAACTATAGCCGATATTAAGTCGATGTGGAATGACGTGTGTGTCAGAACTACATTTGGACATTAATATTAACTGCAGGTAATGTGATACCACCGAAACATTAACTGCATTCGGGAAGGGTGTGCAACTTTCCAACGCAAAATAGTCGTATTCTATCCGTGGTAAGCAAAGTGCAACGTCTTGTAACAGATATCCAGGGCAACAGTAAGCAATATAATCAAAAAGGATGTCTATCTGGAAAAGTGGCACAAATCACGTCGCCGCATATCTCATGTACTTTGAGAGTAAAACGAATATTCATGTTATTCTTTAATTAAAAAGACCTGTCAAATTTCATGAAGCAGTGTCATTGAATTTCTGTTGATCTGACTGTTAAAACGCATGCTGGGAAACCATCGTCATTGACACTAGATGGCTTATGGAAACCAGATGGGGAGGAGTGGTGTGCTTTGGGCGTGAAAGTCTTACGCAGAAGCATTTTACAACAGAAACTACACTGCAAAGCTATTGCCAATACGCAAGGTTATCAGGTAGAGCATGACAGGACATTCTGATTATGAACTTTAACAACGTGGTGAGATTCCAAAATCGTGTTAATATCGCGTACACAAACTCTGTAGTTGCAAGATACCACATGAATAAATAATAAACTGAAAGAAGAACCTTTGCCTTTAGAAAGCTAACAAACATTTGGACCACAGGTTACTTCGTTCAAGTTTCTATAAGTGAGAACCTGTAGAATATGAGATTTCTCTTGTATTTTTTCGCATCAACTAATTTATAATATAAATGTATTTATTGTTTAAGTAGTTGAACAAGTAGTCTGAGGCAACTCGACTTTCTCAGCATTGGCGTAAAACACAAGTATAATGTTATTGTTACGTTGTGTCTAGAGATTCTTAACGTTTGGAAATAGGGAAACGGTGTGTTTTACCAACCAGTTTTGGAGGAAGTCTTGCCTCCGTATATTCCATGTCGTATTTATAAATATCGGGTGGCTTCTGTACACGCATCGTGTCAGTAAGCTCTTCCTGGTCATTATTAGATAAAGATGAAGCTGTCCGTATTTCCAGTTTCAGATCCGAGTCGCCAGATGACGCCGAATCAGATTGCTTCGCTTTATTTTCTGAAACAAAATCATTACCTGAAAAAAAAAAAAAATAGCGATTGTAATTGCTCAATTTCTCATCAAAAAATAAAAGCAGCATTATAATTTCCTGAAAACGGTGGATTAAAGAATCGGGAAATATATTTGTCTACAAATGTTATGAAACAGTTCAGATATCCAGTTGACCGAAAAAAAAACAAAAAAAAACATAACTAACATTAATAATTACGTAATGCAAGGAATAATAAAACAAACACCAAACCAAACACATTTTATGGTCCTTTTTAAAGATCACGTAAAGTCCACAAAGACGCACATCTTTAGGTTAAAGATAAGACAAGCTTTATGTAATAGTTAAAGATAAGATAAGCTTTATGTAATAGTTAAAAATAAGATAAGCTTTATGTAATAAAGAATACTCCACCTAACAAACCACAGGGAAAAACTGTTAATAAGTGAGCGATAATTAATATCTATTCAGGAATAGTACTTAAAGTATAAAGAAAAAATCAGAGTTTATGTAAAATTTATTGCTTTATGAAATGTCTAACAAAACACTAATGTTAGTAGTATTTTTGCCACATAACTGATGAGTTATGTAGTGAAACTGCAAATTAATTTCTAGATCTGGTTTTTCCATTATGCTTTTCTTTTCATAAAATGTTTAATTAAGAAGCCAAGATATATTAAGCCTAAATCAGAACATGAAAACACACTCAATAAAAGTTAGTTTCGAAGTGAAATAATTCCGAGTTTTGTTTGGCACTGCTGTCTATACTAATGAATTTCCTTAAAGTCTTTGGTGTTCTAAGTGCACTAGGTATCTAATCTTGATTGCGTTCTAAATCAGCTTTCATTTTCAATCATTATCTTAATTTAGTGAAAGTTTCTTTCAGTAATCTGTTTGTTTGTTTCAGAATTTTCACGCATAGCTACTCGAAGCCATCTGCGCATAGTTGTACCTAACTTTGATAAAATAGAGTGAAGGCAGCTAACCAACCACCAACTTCTGGGTTGCTCTTGTCTGACAGAATAGTAGATTCTTATAACATACACACGACCCCAAAGTGCGGAGCGTGTTTCTGTAGCAACGTGCTGTGAACCATAAACCCTCGATTTCACAGTCCGAGTTCACTAACATTAGTCCACGCCAGACTTATAAATCATTGAAACCATCGATTAAACAATCCAACCACCAAAAAAAAAAAAAAATTATCTAATTACCTTTCGGTGAAGGCTTTCTTCGAAGACAGAAAATGATCATTATAGTAAAAGAAACAATGATGACGATTCCTCCTATCACACCAGCCAAGATGATCAAGATGGGAATATTTTCTAGATAAACATACATCTACTTTAAGTATATTTTCAAACTACCCAATCATAAGGAGCAACAGATCACAGATAAATTATATGATAAACATTATAGTCTAGAAAAATTTGAACATAAATAACACTCTGATCTTATGAAGCTGTATGCACAGTGAATCAACTTAATTTACTCGTAAAAAAAAAGGCTATTGCTTAAAAAAATGTTACAGTCTTTTGTCAAGAAGATAATTTTATTCAACTTATATCAAAGAGAGCAGTAAAATGGGTTAATTGTCAACTTTAGATTTTCTTACAATTTCAATATACTTATAGTAAAATCTGAAAATAATAATAAAGACCCAACACTGAATTTTGATACGTATACCATCGTTCTATATAATATAGAACGAAACTGCAAACACTGTATTCACGATTAAGATTTGGTGTACCTTATGAATTTTCACAAACAAACACGTATTTAAATTAACGTTTAAATACACATATGTAAGTCATTCTAAATAAGTCAAAGAATGAGTAATTCACATAAACAGTTTACAGAAACACTTGTTACACGCGACCTTAACTTTTTGCTCTACACCCACCGTATATCACATTTGATTTTTTTAAACTTATCTGTTTTATTACGTCTAGTAATGGTTTTCATACTGTCAATTAAGATAAATTACTGATTAGATTATATTAACAGTAAAAAAAAAGATAAAATTATTATTAGAAATCCCTGCTGAATAATTTCGGTAACATAGTTACCATCATCAGGGCTAGTGAGAACAAGTCGGCTGGAATTTGTAAAAAGATTTTGTCATTCATTATGAACAAAAAAAAAAAAACGTTATGACAATGCGTATGAAAAGAAATTAGTATTAAATTACCTGAAATTAGATATTAAGTTGTAAACAGCACTTTATAATTTGCTTTACTCTAAAATTACACAGCTTTATCAATTAAGTTCTTCCTCATCTTGTTAACAGATAGAGTTTCACCTACGTCATAGTAACTACTGATTTAGATCGTTTGTTTGTGTTGGGGCAAAGCCACATTGGCCTATCTGCCGTTTTTGGCGAGGGGAATTGAACCCCGTATTTTAGCGTTGTAAGTCCATAGATTCACTGGTGTTCCACCAGGGGACGCTGCTTTAAATATCCTTCTGAAATAATTAGTTAACTTTTTTTTTAATCTGACAAAAGTATTTATGTTAATCAATTATTTGTAAAGCATACCTGTATTCTTAGGATCTAAACAGCTTTTATAATATTAAGGCAATAACATAAGGAAAACTTTTAGTTGGTTATATCCTTTTCTTAGCAGTATCAGTTTGTGTGTGTGTGTGTGGTGGGTGGGTGGGTGGTAGTAGGTTGGTTTTGTTTTGGGTTTCGGTATAGTAACGAAAGTAAAGTAGTAGTTAGTTTAACGTTAAAACGAAAGGTTAATTTAAACTTAAACTTACT